AGCTGGGGCAAGAGGAAGATCCCATCTCTTAAAACGAATACAATAAAATATACAAGTGTACCTAAAACACTATCCAAATATGTCTTCTGATTATGGAATCATGTAGAAAAGCATTACAGAAGAAATATAATCTATTCAGGCTTAACAAAGATTAAAAATAGTAACATTTCTCTACATCACAACAGCTCGATTCACCAAGAATATAGGGCTTATGTGATCTGAAAAGCTTAACAGATATTAAGTTGAAAGAAAATTCACATCTAAGGCTTACCTTTTGGGCATATTCATCACAGGTTGGTCCCACTGGAACTACCATTACCTGGCGAGGGGACAGCCAAAAGGGCCTTTGAAAGAGAATAAAAATACTCAGTGTAGATGTGGGCACATTCACTAAACAGGGACAGCATATTTCTTAGTCTACTCTTCAGTATCTTTTCCTGGAACATGTAAGGACTACTTTTAAAACTTGGCTTAAAAAACCCCAAAATGAAAAATCCTATCCAATAAAGATTAAGGCGAGGAGATGCAGGAGAAGAAAACTAACCCTACATAAGGAAAGTCTGTAACTACGATTTGTCTTGCTAAGCAGATAGCAAAACCAGTTGAGGATAGGACTATGCCTCACACTTTAATACATCACAAAACACTGTGAGAGGGGGTAACAAATTATTTAATAACTGCATGTAGTGATTAATTGTTCGAGTATTTTATTACTTATTCTTCATGGGGACACAGTGTCCTCAGTTTATTCAAAATCCATTTTGCACCACTCAGCAAATTGTAACTGATAATAACTGGTTATGGCACTTGGTAAAAATGAGAGTTTTCACTACTTATTAAAAAATAAGCCCATCCAATTCTCCCTTTGAAGCAATTCAAGTGTCAAATGCTTCTGATGCTGCAAACATCAGGCTAATGTTTCTCTCCATCATTCCTCTATTTTCAGTTGTTCTGTTATATCAGGCAAACATCAGGCAAAAGGCTAAAGTAGGCACTAAATTCTACCCTAATCATGGACTTTTCCCCACCTACAACAAGTTTAGCAGAACAATTAGCTGAGGACTCCCTTAATTCTTGAAGTACCTTATAGAGCATGTGTCTCACATTTTATCTGACTTTGAAAAATCTAAAGAGATTATATCATTGACCAGTATGAAAAACTGTTCTAATTTCTGAAGTAACCAAGTTCAAATAAAACTGAAATGACAGTAATGTAAGATTAAACCAATGTACATCATTCTACAAATGTGTTAAATCAATGAGATTAATATGGAAGGCTCTACACATGGGTGCTTTTATAACCCTGTGCTGCTTTCAAATGCATTGTGGGTCCAGAAAAAAACTGCTTAAGAAGTAAGATGAAAGTTATGTGGCCATGTATCTTGCCAACAAAAACGTAACCTCATAGAAACGAATCACAAAATGTTGATTAGTTTGGCATCTGTTTTAAAAAACGCTTGGCTTTTAAAAGATGTCAAAATACTTGCTTGTTATGATTAGCAAGGCTGAACGAAAAAAGCCATAAGCTTCCTCATTTATCTACGTAAAACCCAGCAAAGCCATCTAAACCCCAAAACAAAGTTACCAGAAAAGCATCCAAAACAATAAGTATACTTCTTAACAGAATACTAATTCGTAATTAGAAAGTATTACACAACATTCAAACAAACCAAGTTCTGGAATTAATTACTACTAGCATAAAAAGTTTGCGTTTAGATTATGATTCCTTATTTTTTAGTGAACACTTGTCATTAGTTAGAAGCAACTGACTGCAATCATTCTCCCTTTCCATCTGATAATTAAATCAAAAAGTAGACATTTCTTGTAGCCAATTTATACTAATCAGAAAAAAAAAAAAAAAGACAAAAATTACCATTTGCCCCCATAGTTTTCTGTGAGGATAGCAATCATTCTTTCCACTGACCCCAAGATGGCTCGATGAACAATCACTGGCCTTTTCTTATCATCACCATCGTGGCTACAAAGAAAAAGAATTTGTTTTGCCTTATCATATATATATATTTTCCCCTATATATCCCTGGAGAATACTCAGAGCAGACACCAGAAACTCACCTTACATAAGTAAGATTAAACCTGATGGGCAACTGAAAATCCAGCTGGATGGTCGCACACTGGTGGTACCGCCCAATCGCATCTTTAATCTGTATGTCAATCTAAGAGGCAAAGACTGGGTTATTATAAAATGCCAGTGATACTAACGTGGAGTTCAATAGTTGGATTAGGGCTGATTTTTCTTTTTCCCAACTTCTTTCGAAGCCATATCTTCTTCATCCACAAGTGAAAATCATATTATCCAAATATACTTCAGTGCTCACCTTTGGACCATAGAAAGCTCCGTCTCCAGAGTTTAACTCCCACTTTTCACCAAATTCATTCAGACTGTTTTCAAGTTGCTGAGGATAAAGCAAAAATTTTTTTTTTAATTGCAATTTCCCTTCTTCCAGCCTGAGACTAAAAATACAGTAATTACTTTCATAGATCAATATTCTCTGCTTTAGAATTTTGTCCACCTGAACATATGCTCACATCAACCCCTTTTTAAAGCTTATAGCTTGATAACTGAAAAAAGCCATTAAATTCAACCATTCCTAAAATACACAAAGAAAAAAACTAGCTTACTCAAACCTAGGAACCATTTCCAATTTCCTTTTATCCATTTAAAGAGGCTTGGCTTTCTTACATCTCGGAACAAGCCAATTTCAAACAGTATTCAAAAGCATGCTGAAAAATACCACTTACCTTCTCAGCTTGGTCCCATACTTCAATATCTCCAAGGAATTTTTCCGGGCGAGTAGAAAGGTTCAGTTTAAAAGAAAATCCAAATACGCTATATACCGTACGTAGAAAATCCAAACAACCTTTTATTTCATCTTCAATCTTTAAATTAAAAAAAAAGAAAAAAGAAACAGTAGTTATTTTCCTTGAGTTTCTTGACACTTCTTTCAAAGTATTTTATTCCCCAGGGTCTCATACCTGCTCCATGGCACAGAATATGTGAGCATCATCCTGCTGGAATCTTCGTACCCGGGTGAGTCCTGTGAGTGCTCCAGACAGCTCATTCCTATGAAGTACCCCAAAATCAGCTAGCCGCAGAGGCAGTTCTCGCCAGGACCTTGGCCGATGATCAAACATAAGGCTGAAGAGGAAAAGAAAAGTCCACGGACACCTAAGAATAAAACTGCTTGTGTAATGTTATATTTAATTACATGAAATGTTGTCAAACAGCCACTGATTCTAGCTGTCCATCCAAGCAACATTTCTCAAATTCTGGGCTTCATACAGCAGTAAAAGCATCTGCATGAATAAAATAGCAAATAAGTTATAATTCAATGAACCACAGTGAAGAATAAAAAATGTATTCCAACAACTGAAGAATCTGGGAAAATTAAGAAGGAACTTAGTTGATTTCCTGGCCTATAATACAGCTTCTTCACAAAGATTCTTCTCTCACCTCCTCTGCCCTCCATGCCTGGCTAATAGTTGCTGTGGACACTGAGTTACCTGTATCCACAGCTCTCCTGTGTCTTCCCTTAAGCTGTTCTTCACCCAGCTTTCAAAGATAGAAAGCAGAGCGGCCTCATGACAAGGAACATTTTCCAAGAATGCTGAGTCATTAGCAGGTGTTGACAGAACAAGTTTCTTTAAAAACAACAACACACTAGATAATTTGTTACACCCCCATATTCCAACTTCCTCTTTTATATTCTGCCTTGGTCACTGCTGTGATCCCAGTACCATTACTGAATGCCCATAGATCTGGAGATCTGGCGGGACACAGTGGCTCATGCCTGTAATCCCAGAGCTTTGGGAAGCCAAGGTGGAAGGATAGCTTGAGGCCAGGAGTTTGAGACCAGGCTGAGCAACATAGCAAGACCTCATCTCTACAGAAATAAAATTTTAAAAATCAGTTGGGCATGGTGGCATATGCCTGCAGTCCCAGCACTCCAGTTGGAAGACCTCTTAAAAAAAAAAAAAATAGATCTGGGGATCTAATGAGGCACAGAAGATGTAATACAACAATGATGTTGCTTTTAAATGCTCTTCTGATCACATAATTTGTTTTTAATGAAAATGTTGTTAAAGGAGAGAAGAACCCAGGATGAATTGTAGCATGTGAAAATCTTCAGTAGAAATTCAAAGCTGCCAATTACCAGTGCCCTGGGCAGTTCATGGGTTTCAAAGCAAACAGCTCCTTCTCCACCTCAAAGGAGAACATGTTCTCGCTGTAGTGCTGCCAGTGACCCGAGGTCATCCAGAGTCGGCTGTTGAAAATGTTTGGGGTGACTACCTCCTGGAATCCTCTTTTCCTATATTCACTCTGATAGAAAATAAACAGAAACATGTGTAGGCAAATAAATGCTCATACTTCAAGTGGGAGTAAAAACTTAAAAGAGAGATTTTATACTCTCTCATGAGAAAGATGCACACATGCCATGATTGAGAAATCTCACTTCTAAGTATATACCGAAGAGAAAACTCTTGCCACATGTACATAAGGAGGCTTATAAAAGCAATGCTACTGCAGCATGGCTGATAATAAGGGACAACTATACATCAGTGTCCATCAGAAAAGGGTTGAGCACATTGTGGTAGTTACATAACAAAATAACATGTAGCACGTGAAAATAAACTGGATTTGTATGTCTCTAAAAATAAATCACAAGGCAGTCTGATACACAATGAGGCTTCCTATATGTAACACATAAATACATAAATAATTTAAGGGTACACATACACAGGCTAGATGTAAATAACATGGACAAAAAGAATCCATGCCAACTTCAAAACAGTAGTTTCTTCTAGAAAGCTGGTATATGGTATACCAGTATATGGGTATATATAGTAGTATATGGAGGTATATGGATCAAAACTGGGTCCTAAAGAGAGGCTTTTTAAACAACTATTTTTTTTTTTAAAATATCGTGAACAAAAAAATCTCAAGCAAATATAGTTCAAAATGAATCTTTGTTAAATTTGGGTAGTAAGTACACAAGATATTGGATATACTATTCTCTATAAAGTTACACTTGAAACATTTCATAATTTACAAAGAAAAAAAGCAATGTAAAAACCGTTTTTTCAAAGAAAATAGAAATCAATGATCAAAGTCAAAGAGGGCACAGAGCTCCTGTGTCAAGGACCACGGGTGCCCCTTCAAGCTCACCAGCTTCCATATGTATATGGGCAAAATCAACTACTAGGGATGATTTATGAGGCCACAGACTTCTACTTTTACTTATTGTTTTATATATTTCTTCTCAAATAGAGACTATCTTTCTTTTTAGTAGACCTTATTTAATAAAAATGATCATATACCCTAAATCTAAAGAAGAAAGCAATAAATATGACTTACCCTAATGAATTCAATAAGTGCATTATAAATGTAGGCTCCCTTTGGCAGAAAAAAGCAACTTCCAGGGCTGAGTTCATGAAAGAAATATAGTTCTTGGTCCTGGGTAAAAGAAAAGCAAAAGAATATTTATGTACGTCATGTATATGTGTGTGTATATATACATGAATTTCAGTGTTCTTGAGCTCAGAATATGGTCATGATGTCCCATATTTCAATCAGTGCCAACCCTGAATCAAAGAAACCATGTCAGTGTTTCTGGTGGTACAGAATTGCAGCTGATCTACAATTTGGCAGACGTGTAACACATGCCCTGCTTGTTATATTCCTCAATCCAGTCAAGTTTCCCCAACAGTGGCAGGGAAGAAGGGTCCCTCATTTCTCTATCCACTGCAGTACCTCTTATAGTTCTTAATTCCTTAAAGCTCCAAGATCTGAAAGTTTTTTCATTTTATTTATTTATTTTCTTAATAGGAGTGTCAGGAAGGAGACTGGGATAATGAAATAGATGATGGTAAAGTTGGCTGACTTTGGGTCACAGTGAAAGAAACACACCCTCCTACCTCCTTGCCCAACATCCCCCTCACCAAGTGCCCAAAAGCCCTCAGGGAAGGGCCCACCAATCGTTGCTGGCTGCCTCATGGCTGGAATGTCAGGTAGTCAGGGGTGCAAGGCACTGGCTGCTAGCTTCAGCTCAAGCTTCATAACCTAACAGCCAAGGACTCCTGGCACAGAGTGCCTATTTTAGGGAGGAATGTTTTATCTAGCCTAACTTCCAGTTTAGAGGACATTCAGCAGTAACAGAGATAATGGGTAGAGGAAATGACAGCACAGGATCTATGTGTGACATGCTGTGTTACCTTGGGCAACAAGTAGGTTAATCTTTGTGGGACTCTGTTTCCACATTTTAAATGAGTCAGTGAGACTAGATCGTTTCCAAAGTCTAGTTCTCCCAGCTCTACGAGAAGCTGTTATACTTCTTTTACAGAAAACTGTAGATCATCACCGTTTGTTCTGAATAAAAGTAGTTCAAATGCATTTTTGTGTGGTACCGAGTCCACTCCAGGCAGATAATGTGGACAATCAGCAAGTATTTATAGTTCGTACAGGACATAGCACCAGTTACTAAAAAGCTACAGCATCTCTTCAAAACAAAATTCCTAGTACTTCATACAGCTAAATTTCAAACTTCAAATGAAGTTCAAAAAAACTCAGTCTAGACACATCATTGTTCTTGAACATACCCTGCCAATTTTCCTATGATCTCGGTTTTTAGCTTCCTCTTGGAACTTCTCCCACTCTTTCAACATTTTAGGATCTGGGAATGAAATGCCATAAATTCTCTGCAGAGTCTCCATATCTGCTTTGCCTTCCCAGTATGTGGAAGAATTCTGAAAACAAGGATTAACCATGAAACAATATTCAAATTTGTAAACATCTCACTTATTTTAACTCTCAATTGCTTTGAGGCCTTGTTAGAGTAGTTACTCATTCTGCAGCACAAAGTTGGCTGTTTACTTCCCTCGAAGATGCCCCTCCCTCAATCTGCAGGTAGGTGCAGTGGCTCACGCCTATAATCCCAGCACTCTGTGAAGCAGAGGCAGGAGGATCGCTTGAGCCCAGGTGTTCGAGACCAGCCTCGGCAACACAGGGAGACCCTGTTCTTTACAAAAAAAAAAAAAGGAAAATTACCCAGGCATGGTGGTATGCGCTTATGGTCGAAGCTACTCAGGAGGCTGAGGCGGGAGGACCGCTTGAGCCTGGAGTGCAGTGGCACGATCTCCGCTCACTGCAACCTCATTTCCCAGGCTCAAGTGGTCCTCCACTCTGTCTTTTTGGGGTAACACAGTGAGACCTATTCTACACCCCAACACCCCCAAAACTGCCCACCCCTCAATATGTAACCACAATTCCACAAACATTACTTTGCCTGCAAAGGCATTTCTCACAAAATGATTGAGCAAAAATAGAAATGAGCCAATAAAAAAAATCTTGAAATGACTCAATTATTCTCTTGATTTAAAGTGCATTTTAATAACCTCCACAAAATGTTTATGAAGTAGTATAAAACTGGGTTCTGTTAAAAAGAACAACTTGTGAAATTATTAATTTAGACATACAAAGGGCAAAAGCACATACTCCTAGTGAGTCTCAAAGCTTTTATAGAGCCAGGATGGCCCATGCTGTATAATTTTGTAAAATCGCCATCCCCTGGGCTTGCTCTGGTAATGACAGCAAGTCAGTCACCCCTTGAGGGATTTCAATTATAAAAACCTGATGGCATACAGCTCTCAGTTAATAGACAGCATGAGAAAACATCGTTTCATGTGCAGCAGAAAATGGTAAAGAGAAATCAGGGAAAGTTTAAACACATATCTATTCTAGACAGATGCATTCATATAGTCTTTAAAGTTACATTGCTTACTTTGTGTATTTTTAAAGCCTTAATTTTGCCCGTGTGTCTGACATGAGGACCCCGGCAGAGATCTATCAAAGGGCCACACCTAAACATAAAATGAAAGGAGTTTTAACAAACACAAAATGACATACATACCAGATACATTTAATGACATCTAATATTCTCACCTATAGACTGTGGTAGTTGGAGTATTCACCTTTTCATTCAATATCCGACATTTGAACTTGTTGTACTGAAAACAGGAAAAATTATTCTTTTAAAAGACTGTCCTTTAATTTTTACTTCTAAGTACTATAGATAAAATGTAGCACTGTATGAATATAAATGTTGATATTTCATGTTTTAAAAACATGTTGAAGGAATGGTTTGCTAGGGAAAAAAGTGAAATAAAAATAATAAAAATACTTAATGTTTTCTAAAGAACCAAATATGCTTCGGCTTAGTACAGTGAACTCCAGTGCTGTCACTTCAACTAACATGAATAAATGATATTAACGGTGGGGGCCACACATTATGGTTCAATTTACCTTAAACATTGCCAGTAAAGTTTCTTTCTTAACTTCCAGTCTTTCAAAAGCTTGTTTTTCTTTAATGATTTTCTTACATAAAGACTCCAGAGAAGAGAAATCATTGCTAGACACACCCCTGAAGGAGAAGAAAGTATAATCTTTTCGTTCCATTTGAATCACACCATGGCTTCAAAAAATGTTTATTTGGAAAAAATATTTGGAATACTTCAAGGATTTTAATATTAAAAAATTAGACTATTGCATCATATCTTAGAATTCTAAACAAAACATTTTTCATAAGTAATTTTTACATTTTATATTTTCAGTGGTTTCTACCTTGGTCATCCATGGAGACCTTTCTCACTAGTGACCCCTTCCCACAACTCTATCACCAGGTTTTAAAGGAGAGGGGAGGACCTGTCTCCCTGAATTTCCCAAAACACCTTAGGACTCTACCTCCATCCATCTATAACAGAGGTCTCATTAAATCTTCTAATACTTCAAGTAAATTGCAACATTTCAAGTACTGATAACGGGCATACGTGATGAAGAAGCAGTGAGAGCTGTATCATTTCTCCTTTACTGAGAACTCTAAAAATAACTTATGCATCCATAGTCACTGACTTCAGTTTTCTTTATCTAGTTGACAGCTTACCCATCCTCGAGGTACATGTCATAATAGAATCCATTTTCTATTGGCGGACCATAACACAAACATCCACCATAGACTCTTTCCATGGCTTCACCCATTATGTGAGCACTGGAGTGCCAATACACCTGAAAATTTAAAGAAAAATGGCATGGTCTGAGTCTTGGCATACAAGTTGTCAATTAATGTGGTTGTCTGAAAGAGACAGATAATATTTATTACAAGTAAAACCAATATATAAAATCCTAAATTTCTAAATCTATAAACTACTGTGTGTTTCTATCCATAGCCAAAGTAATTCAAAAGGCTTCCAATTACTAAAGTGTATTTTTATTTTGGAAATCATCTGGTTTAGCTGTTTTCAAACAAATTAAACTAAACTTGCCATCACTAATTAAATAGCATTGATTTTGCTCTCTGAAAACAATTGCTCTCACAACGTGACTATCTCATTGACTGCAATGGCCCAGGTTCTACTGAGTCAATGTACCCACAGCACCATGTCTCAGACACTGTGATCTGGTCTTTAGCTGGCTATGGAACATCACTTAGAAATTATATGTTGTTATTGGCCCAAAACAAAGGTGGTACAACCCGACCCCACAACACAACGACAAAACATAAAGACAAACATCTGTACACTGAAACCAAATGGCAGTACTTGGTTTTAAAGTAATCACTGGGATGAGTCAGAATACACCCAAAGCAATGTTTTCAAGATTTAGTATTAAGGTACCAAAGTGACATTAAAAAATTCTCATAAGAAACTTGAGGACTCCAAAATACATTTGAAAACCACTAATCCACATACATAAGTGAACAATCATCACTAAAACAAAATACTTTGTTTCCCCTTATATGATACACAGCCATGAAGAATTAAAAAGAAAATCTTGTCATCAAATGCAGGTTGACTTTTATAGTGTTATCCAGCAGATTTGCATCTTAAGACGAAAAAGATACAGAAAAAAATACAGAAATTGTCCAATAAAGGGAGTGCTTTGAAGTAAGGTTCAAATTTATTTGTCAAATGTATGTATCTTGCTAAAATGTTCATAGCTTAGAGGCCAGGCGCAGTGGCTCACACCTATAATCCCAGCACTTTGGGAGGTTGAGGTGGGTAGATCACTTGAGGTCAGGAGTTCGAGACCAGCCTAGCCAACACGGCAAAACCCCATCTTTAGTAAAAATACAAAAATTAGCCAACCGTGGTAGCATGCTCCTATAATCCCAGCTACTCGGGAGGCTGAGGCAGGAGAATCGCTTGAACCTGGGTGGCAGAGGTTGCAGTGAGCCGAGAGCGCACCACTGCACTCCAGTCTGGGCGACAGAGCGAGACTCAATCATTTAAAAAAAAATTAAAATTAAAATTAAATAAAATAGTGTTCACAGTTTAGAAAACAATTTTTACTTGTTTAATCAATGTTTAATAAAATTCCCAAAACATTTTCCCTATTGAAGTGTCTAGTAATGAAAAGACTTATTCAGCTTCACCTCTTTATTTTCTAAGGCAAGCACTTTTATTCTGTTCCCTAAATGAAGGACAAAATGAAGATTTCAAATATGACAATGAGACAACAATAACTGTTTGCCACCCAATCGCAGGACTGAACTGATGCAGACATTAATCTGCATCCTAAAATTCAATGAATACTAAATCAGCTACTTACTGCCTGAGCCTCCTCATCCTCAAACTTGAGAAGCTCCAAGGTACAATCTTCTTCCAGAGGGCGGTCCAGGTCCCACACAACATTATTTACTTTAGCAATAACGGTGTTGTCGGCCAGGCCTTGACTTAAAAGAAAAAAAATGTCCATACATATATAAGAACACAAGAATCTAATTTGAAAACAGGAAAATAAACACTATTTTTATTATGTACTGATTCTTTTATTGATGTATCTCTATTTTTCTGAAATATAACAATAAAAACAACAAACTCCAAAAATGTACCTAAGAATGTCACTGGAAGATCCTGAAAATGCAGAACACTATCATTTGACAGTGAATGCCTCCTGTTTAAGCAGATATGGCAACTCTGATAAATAAGCACGATCAATTGCCAATGGTTTGATTAATCTTAATTTCTCCAATAAATAAGTTTTTTTTTTAAAATTGTTTTGAGACAGGGTCTTACTATGTTTCCCAGGCTGGCCTCCTGGCCTCAAGCAATCCTCCAACATCAGCCTCCAGAGTAGCTGGGACAACTGGCACAAGTCACCACACCCAGCTTTCTCTTAATACACCCACCTTTCTCTTTCTACAAAGGTAAGCTATTTAGACTCCAAAGGTGGGGGCGGGGGAAAGGCCTACTAAATAACTTCTCTGTTCCTCTTCTTGCTTAAAAATGTACACCGGTTCCTTACTTTGACAGACAATGCTAACCTCAGAATAAATTCTGCAAATGCCTAAGATGATAATATTTATAATATAGAGGTAAAATGAAAGACTATTTAATAAAACTTTTCATAATGTGAGTAAAAATATTACACACCCAATATACAATATCAAACATAAAGTATCAAATGATGAAATATCAGAGCACACAGAGTGTAAAAGCCACAGGAGTTCTGAGGAGGCAAAGCAGCACAGGACAGAGTCATCTGGAAAGGCTTTGAGGATAAAGCACTCACAGGAAGAAAGTGGGGGGGCCATGGCATTCCAGATGAGGAAATGGCCACAGACGCAAGCAGAGGTGCAAGTGAAGAAAGGTTTATGCAGGAAGCTGTGTGACTAGAGTAGAGTTGAGTAAGGTGAGCCAGATTATACATCTAAATGCACAGCTAGAGAAATAATAGTCTATAACAGCCTGGACATCTCAATGAAGATAAGCAACATTCTAAGCTGTGAAGAAAAAGTATACACCTTTTACACTGTAAATCTCAAAGAAACCTACCACTAGAAGGCTTTAAGCTAGCTGGGCTTGCTGTGTTGGTGGTTCTCTATGTGTAAAGGTTTACAACCAAATGTATACAACTTCTCCCATGTAAGGATCAAGAAAGAAGAACCAAACAGAAGGTAAACAACAAACTCCTTTCTATTTTCAATGCTCCTACTAACTTTACCATAGGTTATAGACAATGTTTTCTTTCCTCCTGAGATCAGATGAAGCCAATAAAATAAATACATGCATTTCACAAAACATAACATGAATTTGGCAGACAGAAATGTATTTCATCATACTGGTATAAAATAGTTTTCAGGAGATTAAAGAACTGATAAAAAGGTTACTCATATTCTCTAGATTCTTTGGGAAGAACATGACTTTTATCTTACGATCCAAAATGGAGCCCCAAGATTCTAAGAATAGAGTTACTTTGAAAATGTAGATTACACATGGGGCCATACTGGATCATGTCAATTTCTCAAAGAAGGGTAAAATAATCTGTAAGGTTTGCAACAAAATGGCCGGGTGCAGTGGCTCACGCCTGTAATCCCAGCAATTTGCGAGGCCGAGGGGGGCAGATCACGAGGTCAGGAGATCGAGACCATCTTGGCTAACATGGTGAAACCCTGTCTCTACTAAAAATACAAAAAATTAGCCGGGCGTGGGGGCGGGCGCCTGTAGTCCCAGTTACTCGGGAGGCTGAGGCAGGAGAATGGCATGAACCTGGGAGACGGAGCTTGCAGTGAGCCGAGATTGTGCCACTGCACTCCAGCCTGGGCGACAAAGCAAGACTCCGTCTCAAAAAAAAAAAAAAAAAAGATTTATAACAAAACAAAACTTCAAATAAAAATCTATTGACGCAAATGGAACATGTCTTTTTTGTCCTTCCCTTTCATATTCACCACTAATTATCTGAATCTTTAAATAGCCTGTTATCAATGTTATAATTTTTCACAGAACAAAAAGTTATTCTGGACTTTTGTAAAAATTTCCTAAGGTATTCTCAGTGCAGATCAGTGACTTAACTCCAGAGCTAAAGCCCATCAATGTTTTATGTAATTCAACCTTTTTTTTTTTCCCTCCACGACGGAGTCTCACTCTGTCACCAAGGCTGGAATGCAGTGGCTCAATCTCCACTCACTGCAACCTCCACCTCCCCGGTTCAAGCTATCCTCCCACCTCAGCCTCCAAGTAGTTGGAACTACAGGTGTGTGCCACCACGCCTGGCTAATTTTTGTATTTTTAGTAGAGACAGGGTTTCACCATGTTGGCCACGCTGGTCTTGAGCTCCCGACCTCAGGTGATCTGCCTGCCTCGGCCTCCCAAAGTGCTGGGATTACAGCTGTGAGCCAGTGTGGCCAGCTATGTAATTCAACTTAGAATTTTATAGTTCTTGAAAAATATTTTTCAACTGAAGACTTGATAAATTACAACATAATCTAGATCAACATTGTAGAAGGTAAGGGAAAAGGTTCCCAGACTAACAGAAGCCTAAATTTTAATGACACAGCTACAATCTCATTGTGTGACAACAGAAGAATCTCTTAATCAACCTGACCTTCAAAATTATCTCTAAAATGAAAGGTTTAACTGATACTTAAAGGTCTATCCAGTTCTCTGTGCTCTCACATAGAAACTTGCATGGTATCACAACTGTTTACTTCCTTTGGAGTACGGTAGAAGTACTTGTAGGTAGAAGCCCTTGTCAAATGAATGGAAATACTCTGTTCACTTTGTAAAAAGTACTAACCAATGTCGGTGGTACAGTAGAGGCTCATGGCTCATAGGCCTAACTGGTTCTGTTTCTACTAGTTGTATAATAGGCTTACCAAGAATCAGCCACACTGGTTCTCCAAACTGTTTTTGTGCTTGTTCTTTTATGTGTTTGGTTCAACAATACAAAATTGATAACAGTCAACCATATGACAATTCATGTGGTGAGATCAAAGGGTTCATTTCAATATATAACAATTATAAATAAACTTAAAAATACATAATTATAAAATAATACAATGAGGGAATTATGATTTCTATGAAAACCAAGTTGAATGTTTGAGAAGGCTTGATAAATCCAAGTCACACACACAAAAATATTGTCAAGTTAGGTGTGACTCTACAACTACATGAAAATCTGCAAGGATTCTGCGCTCAGACTACTTCTCAAATGTGTTAAGATAATGTAAGAACTCTAATTAGCACTCGCCATCCCCCAAAGCTTTGCCATACACATATATATTCACTGTTTTATATATGTATATAAAGTTAGCAAATATATATATAGTCACATATTTAAAGTTGAAGTGTTTCAGACCAAGATTGGCAAGCTTTTTCTGTAAAAGGCCACACAAATATTTTATATTTTGCAGGCCAAACATGGTTTCTGCTGCATATTCTTTTTAGTTGTTTTATTTTTTCCAACTATTAAAAAATGTAAGAATCATTTTTATTTTTGGCTTTTAGGACGTACACAAACAGGTTAGACCATAGTTTCCCAATATCTGGCTTAAGACATATATATATGTTTTACCAATTATTATTTTGATAAACTGACTAATTACTGATCCCAATTATATCAGATTAAGAAAACTTCTCCCCTATTACAAAACATGCATCTAATTCTCACTTAATTGAAATAACTTCTTCCCAACCCAATAAAAGTTTTAAGACTAGGAATAGTCCTTCGTTGAATTTATAAAAACAGTACACTTTTTTCATGTGTCATATAAAGTTTCTTAACCTTTCCATGTGAGATTATCTAGCTTCATTTTTAACTTCAAAACTAAGGCATTTAAGTCAAAATAGGTAAACACCGTCTACTCGGTTTTGTAACATTTATAATCATAGTAAGACTAAAAATATATAAAGCCCCACAAGACCAAAGTGAACTCTTTCAGAAATTAACTTTGAATTTTGACTACATAGCTCTGTATCATTCTGATTTTTAAAAATCCCAAGTAGGCCAAATTAAACAGATTAAAAACACTGAATAGTAACATAAAAATATTATAAGAATAAAACATGGCAGGATAATAAAATGAAGCTTAGTTAGGCCACAAACTATAGAATGTCATGATGGGTGTAGCTTATACCTAATTCCACAGGCAATTTGATATGGTGTAGTTTTCCAAGATTCCGCATCAACCTGTTTACCATCAGGCAAAGTGACTTTAATTGGCTTGCTATCTTTTTCTGCTTTTTCTGCCAGAAGGGAATCATGTTCTGCTTTTAGTATATTATACATCTCAAGACGTGTGTAAATATATTCAGGCCAAGGATTCAACTGTAAGACAACAAATCAGGAAATAAACAATCAGTAAATATTGCTTTCCTATTTAGAAATGGGAAAGAAATAGTAAAAACAATACAGAAACCCACGACTATTGATTCAATGTAGTAAATAAACACACTGCCAAAATCACCGGCATTACCTCAATTTGTTCCTAAATGAAGGTAAAAGAAGGAATTAAATGCCCTATTCTTGTTTTTTTTTGTTTTTTTGTTTTTTTCAGACAGTCTCGATCTTGTCCCCCAGGCTGGAATGCAATGGTGTGATCTTGGCTCACTGCAACTTCCGCCTCCTGGGTTCAAGCGATTCTCCTGCCTCAGCCTCCCGAGTAGCCGGAATTATAGGAGTAGCTGGGATTATAGGAGTGCACTACCACGCCCAGCTAATTTTTGTATTTTTAGTAGAGACGGGGTTTCACCATGTTGGCCAGGCTGGTCTCGAACTCGTGACCTCAGGTGATCTGCCCGCCTCGGCCTCCCAAAGTGCTGGGATTACAGGCGTGAGCCGCCGCGCCGGCCTAAATGCCCTAGTGTTATGCTGAATTGACAATTACCATTTTGCTATTATTTTACAGCAAGTGGTCTTTTCTCTCTTAAGATGCCTTCTTAAGATCTTTTCTAACAAAATTATTTTACAAATAGAGCTATAAACAATACTGGAAATAAAAACAATAAACTGACTTTTCCATTTTGTTTCAATCATATCCAGGTGATGGTCTGTGTAGCTGGTCGGCCTATATGTCCACTCACAACCAATCACAAATGTATTTGACTTAAGGTCTCCCCTTCAAGGAAAGTATTTACTGAATTCAAAGATGCCAAGATCACCCTGAAATATGTAATTAGCAAATATAATAAAACAGCATACTACTACTTTCTATAGTAGATAAAATTAACAAAAATATTTTATATACAACATCAATTTAGGTTTCTAAAAGTTTGGTAAAGAAAAAAAAAGAGACAGCAATCAAAGAACTGACTTCCTCTACTGTCAGAGACTCTATAATTTATGGAACATTTCAAAAAGGCAATGAATCTGTGGTAACAAAACAGTCGAACTAACATCTACAGCATTTATCATCTTCAAATTACAAGAACATTAACACTGCATACAAAAGTGAAGAGGAGATTGCTTAATTTTGCCATGACTTTCTATCTTCAAATGAATTTCAATCTATCAAATATAAAATGACTTACTACAATATAGATTTTAACATTTGTTCAATGTTGATAATGCTATCAAAACATCTCCATATATGTCAACATACAATTTGAAAGGAGTACAAGCTAATATCTAATCCTTAAGAAAATGACCAGGCTCATTCCTGTAATCCCAGCACTTAGGGAGGCCAAGGCAGATGGATCACTTGAGGCCAAGAATTTGAGACCACCCTGGCCAACATGCTGAAATCCTATCTCTACTAAAAATACAAAAATTAGCCAGGTGTGGTGGCGCAACCTGTAGTCCCAGCTACTTGTGGGGCTGAGGCACAAGAATCACTTGAACCTGGGAGGCGGAGGTTGCAGTGAGCCAAGATCGGGCCACTGCACTCCAGCCTGGGCAACAGAGTGAGACCCTGTCTCAAACAAAATGAAACAAAACAAACCTGACTGGAGATAATAGAAAATAATATCAAATGAAAAAGATTCATTGTCTGCCCAGTAATTCCTTCCTTCCCTCCTTCTTTCCATTCTTTAATGACAGGGTTTCACTATGTTGCCTAGGCTGGCTGGAGTGCAGTGACAATTCACAGGCACATTCACAGCACATTTTGGCCCCAAACTCGTGGGCCCCAGTGATCCTCCCACTCAGTCTCGAGTGGTTGGCTCCCACCACTGTACCAGGCCCTAATATCCTTGTAATTCCCACCCACAGTGGTCCCTCCCTTTCTTTAGTCATTCAGTTGTTCTTTGGGAGCTTTTCATCAAATTACCACAACGGTCCATAATCTTCAATGGTGAAGAATCCATGAATTAACTAAAAGCTCAGAGCCTGTCATTCTACAACCATAATCTGAACCCCTCAGACTAATGCACAGTACCTGCTTCCATCTACTCTAAAGCATCATTATACACCTCCCCACCAGCACTACCTTCTGTATCTTAACTGTGGTTTATCATCATAGCCACTTGGCATGTCCCAATTAGAATTTCGTGTCAAAATCTCTTCAATATTCATTCAGCAGACACCCTCTGTGTCAGGCTCTGTGACTGCAGAGATGAATAAAACCCGCATGTTGCCCTTGGAGGGGAAGGCCAAGGTCTTGGACAGTTCACTGTACACTCTTTTTTTCCAGACCAATCGTTAAACATAAATAATCACATGTCCCACTTAAAATTCTCTGTTCAGAAGAGTCTTCTAATTATACTCTTTGTCTTATTTCCAGGTCAATTCTCAAGCTGTGATGGAATAGCATGTATGTTTGTATTGAAAGTATAAAAAATAAATTAGGGAACATACGCATTTTTCTATTTGCTTGCAAATTTTTAAATTCACAATCAACAATTTTCTTCACAATTACAGTGGGGTATAATGGTTGGAAGACTGATCAACTGATCAACCGTAAGAGAAATGGTTAGGTAGGGTTCTAAGCAACACTACACTTGATCATCTATAAACTTACCCTAAAGTAAATGACGGCACTATACATTTAGTAATTGCAGCGTTTGTAAAAGTGGCTCTTAAAAGCCAGCTTATTGTGCTACTTCGAAAAAGGCTGTTCCTTTGTGCTTCTTCCTTCTGGTAGCTTTCTAAAGAGTCTCCAATAAAACAGCTCTAATGACTAAAGCAAAAAGTGAAGCACAGTTCACAGCAGTAAAAATATAGTAGAAAGACAAGCTTAACTGCGTCTAAAAGCAAAATACTCAGGAACCAGGTTGATTTAAGGTTGGCTTTTGATATGCCAGTTCCTTTCAGTGTGAGCCTGGGGAAGGGAAAGCATTTTCTCCAGACTTGAGAGGCCTTAAGGGGAATCTGTCCTGGCTTAGAAGCCAACCCTAGGGCAGGTCCAGATACAAAGGGCAAGGAGGCGGTCACAAAACTGGGTTTCTTTGGTTTTTGTTGTATTCAGTGTAAGCCCAAACACCAAGCCTCTATTCCTTAACATCTCATTTAATGAAATAATCAGAGAGCTAGCATCACGTCTGGCAACTGAATAATTACCAGTCTCCTCTTCAACTTTTGTTCTCTGATTTTTATATTCAACCCCACAATCAGATCACCTTATACAATCATACGCCAGTTGCTTCCTTTTACAGTAACAAAAGACTGAAAGTCTTTTTCCCCCTCTCAGATTATCCTTTCCTAATTCTTCTTCCTGATTTTTCCAACCAGTACCATCTTATAACACCATGTAAACCATTAGAATCCTTACACATTCAGAAAGTCTCAGAAAGTTCCCTGTGATTTGCCAACCTTTGATAACAGAGCCCTCTGCGATAACTTTTACCTCAGCTCGACCTCCATCTCCAGATCCTTCTTTGTTCTTCTTTTTGCCTCCTTCCTTTCGCTTCTCTTCACCAGCATCAATCTAAATAAGCAAAATACGTTTTATATTTTAATCTAATGTGACACCTCCACCCTGCGATGCCCCAGCAAAAGTGTTGAGAATGTTATTTTAGTATTTGTTATTGGATTTTTAAAAAATGGAAATCTGATATTGAAAGACTGAACAATTTCATCACTGGCAAAGACAGGTTAACAACTACAATAAAGACGAGTCTTCAAAAAGTAAGAAGGAGTTACTAACGATGTTTAACTCCTCAAATTTCATTTATTTTATTTTAACTATTCCCGTGACTCTCGCTTCAGGTTTACTTGGACCACATACCAAACATATGGCCACAGGGAAGCATGCAGTTGACTCAGTAAGCATAGTTCCAGAAAAAACGAACAAACAAACTGAATACAAAGTGTGCCCATGAATTCCACCAGTGCTACCAAAAGCCATGGAAGAAGCAAATATAAGGCGCAATCTCTACCATGTGTAAACCTAGTCTCTCCAGGGAAAGTAAGGCATACATGTGTGAGAAACTCCCGGAGAAGAAAAGAACACAGTAGTAGCGCTATGATTAGACGTCAAATAGGCTAGGACTAGTGTAAGAACTTTAAAGGATGGAATGCATTTCAACAGCTGGATTTTGAGAATAGAGGCAATGTGTCCTACGTGTACACATAAACTTGTTGTCAGAAACGTTAAAATTTAAAGAGAGAAAAAATGACTAAACCAGGCTGATTAATGAAGGATTGTTTTAGAAAGTAATACAAGGTAAGACAGACTAATGCTCACAGAAGAACTAAAAGTTACCGTAAGGCATACAGGCTTCAATTAGAAGTAAGTGAAGTCGTACAAAGTTTTAAAGTAATAAATCCTGTGCCAGGAATGTAAAGGGGGGGATTTTATTTAGTTTGCATGTTTGTGACCTTTAGTTTTTTAAAGTTTTAAGATACAATCCATATATCATACAAGTTACCCATGTAAAGTATACAATTCAATGGTTTTTAGGTGTTCACTGTCGTGCAACTATCGCTACCATCAATTTTAGAGTATTTTCATCACCCTCAAAAAGAAACCTTGTACCCATTAGCAGTTCACTCCCTGTTGCCTTCAACTCCAGACCCTGGCAACCATTAATCTAGTTTCTGTTTCTATCGATTTGCCTATTCTAGGAATTTCATATAAATAGAATCACACATTACGTGGTCTTTTGTGACAGGCTTCTTTTAGTTAGCATAATAATTTCAAGATCATCAGGTTGTAACATGTATCAATACTTGTCATTGTACCTTTTTATTATCAAATAATATTCCATTGCTTACTTATCCATTTATCAGTTGATGGACATTTTGGTCATTGTCTTTTAAATCCTATAAAACGTGTTACTTGTATAATTTTAAAAAAAACTAGTTTTAAAATATGACTCCTAATTTCATGCTGAGCAAAAATTACCCCCTACTCCATGAGTCTGGATTTAATAAACTTTAAAGGTTCATTTAGATTCAACAGATCCTTTGTCATACAGTAGAAGTGAGGTAACTAATCAAGTATACTGGGTAAAAAGAAAACTGCAGGTGTGTGCAGGTTTAAAGTTGAAAGATAATAAAATAAGTTTTATATTTCTGATAAGATTATTTGGGTTTTGATCATTTGCCAAACGAACAGGGGTAGTGACAGAGAGAGAGAGAGACAATCACCACAAAGGTTTTCTGGTTCTAAATACGGCTCCGTTTTATAAACAAGAACATTGGCTCAAAGAAGCAACTTGCCCACTAGTATCATTAAGTAGTAGAGGTGGGACATTACGACAGGTCTCTCTGGAACCCTGAGGCCTATTACCTCTTTTCTACAACACTGGGAAGAGAGTGGGCAACTGTTCTCTATTTCCCTGAGTATATATGTTATGTACATCTACATACAAGTAATCTAAAATTTCAACCCAAAAATTGGGAAACAGAACTGGATTGTTAACAGAAGCTACAGCATTACCCTTCTCAGGAATGATCTGTCCCTGACTCACTCAGAACAGCACAGGGGTTATTAGTATTTGCTATAGGATACTGGGTTTGAGAAAGGGGAAAAAAAGGGATACTTGGTTTGAGCAAGTTACTGTTCCTATGCCTGCTTTCTCATCTGTATAATGGAGATAATAACAGAACCCAGTTCATAGCGTTATTAAGAAGACTGAATGAGGCCGGGAGCCGTGGCTTAGGCCTGTAATCCCAGCACTTTGGGAAGTCGAAGCGGGCGGATCACGAGGTCAGGAGATCAAGACCATCCTGGCTAACACCGTGAAACCCCGTCTCTACTAAAAATACAAAAAAAAAAAAAAAAAAAAAAAAAAAAAAAAAAAAAAAAATTAGCAGGGCGTGGTGGCGGGCTTCTGTAGTCCCAGGTACTCGGGAGGCTGAGGCAGTAGAATCGCCTGAACCCGGGAGGCGGAGCTTGCAGTGAGCCTAGATCGCACGACTGCACTCCAGCCTGGGCGACAGGGAAAAAACAAAACAAAACAAAACAAAAAACATAAGACTGAATGAGTTAATTCATGGAATACAGTAATACAGTGCCAAACCCGTACTTAGTACTCAAAATAAATATTGACTGTTGTATAACTATTACAGGAAGGAAAAAGTACATATTTGTTAACCGTACATATCAAGTCCAATTAAGAATGGTACAGGAGAATATTTATGGACATGGAAAGTTGTTGACCACATCCTATTAAGCAAAAAAAAAAAAAAAAAAGTTACAAAACAGTAAAAATACCATTTTATGTGGAAAAAAAAAATCTACGTATTGTCACCATTTATCATCTAGAATTAAATTTACTTGGTTTAGAATGTGCCCATATGCAGTTTCTCCATTTAATTCCGAGTAGACAACCAAGAAAAAGTTTTGGCTTTTAAGTGACTTGTCCTGTCACAGACTTGGGATAGAGGCTCCCTTAGCTCAAGATGTCACCACTTCTCACTTGGACTATTACAACAGTTTTCTGCATGTGGCCTCACCTTCTACCCCAATGCCAGCGTGACTTTTACAAATTCAATCTTCCTGCCTAAGATCCTTCATGTATAGAATACAAGTATCAAACATCCTTGTTGCCTCTTTCTGACTGCTGTTCCTTTAACCCTTCTGGCATATCTCTTGCAAACAACCCGAAAGACAATTCACCTGCGTGCCCCTTTTCACTGCCTTCCCTACCTTTATGTGGGAAGCCCCGTCCTGCCTGTTTTCCTGGTGAAATCATTCTTCCAAACTCAATTCGAAAGAGCCCTCCTAAGCTTCCTCTTCTGTAATACCACACAGCTGATCACAAAGCACTAGGGCTGTTTTCCTGTCTCTTACACATCAGCCTGTGAGGCCCTCAAAGTCGGGGAACTGGGCCCTACTCATCTTCCCACCTCCACCGCCCAGCTCAGTGCCGGGCAAAATGTATACTTAACCATCCAAACTTGGACAAGTTGGGTCAGATCTCAGGGACTCGGTTTTCCTTTCTTCAAAATGGAGCTCTTTACCCCCGCAGGATCTTAGGAGATTGATTAAATAAGGCTCTGCAATATGTTTCCCGCTTACAGTAAGCCACAAACCCGAGTTTGGAAGCCCCAAGCCTAAGATTCTGATTCTGTCTCCGCGTGTAACTACTGTAGATGTGAGGCTCTGAACAAGTCGCTCAATCAAGGTCTGTTTCCTCATCTGTAAAGAGAATGGACCCAGAGATGAACTGCAAAGCCCCACCCTAATTTATGAATGGACGGTTCCCAAAGAGGGTTCCGACTTTCCATGAGTCCCACCGTCCCCCACTCCTCCGACCCACGCGGTACCGGCCGCTTCCTGCTTCCTGACCCCTGCCCCCGCCGCGAGGGAGCGTCTGCACCCACGAGAGTCCCAGGCTGCTCTCTGGGTCCCACCAGGTCTGCTCACCGGCTTCTCCTCGCCTCCCATCTTCCCTGAAGGACTGCTGGCTTTCTCCTCAAACATTGGCGAACGACGAAGCGATCAGAGAACCCGAAAGCGACGGCCTAGAGAAGAGCAAAGAGGCGGGTCGCAGGTGGGCTAGCGCCCGGGAACACTGCGCTTGCGCCACTGGGCCTCGACTGGACCAGCTGATGCAATCGAAAGGCGCCCTAACCCCGCCCCCAACTTGCGGCGGAACGGGCAGCCAATGGATAACGGGGGAAGACGGGCCCTGCCTCCTCTAAGCCAATGGAAAATCTTTTTGGATGACAGAGCCCTTCTAGGAAATCAGGTTGTGGCGGGTGAGGAGGAGCAACTGCAGGAGCTACAGGCCTACTCTCCGCAGACCTTGGTCTGGACGCTTTTCAGAGTCAAGTCCCCAATGCTTCTTGCGCCTTCCTCCCCTTCTGCCTTTATGTCGCACAATCATGGACCTTCCCGGACACCGTAGATAATAAGTCGGTCTTGGCATAAACTTCCGGGAAGTTTTCGGCGACCTGGATACCATCTTCGACACTGGAACAAATCCAGGGATTGAGTCCAGGATTTCCTGCGGCTTCGGCGCTTTCTGACCTGGCGCGACTGCCGACTTCTCGGCACTACTCAGGTCTCTGGCTCCCTGTCTGTAGTGGTGAATCGAGCCTTCCTCATGGCAGTCCAGGCTCCCCAAGCCCCGAGTCCTAGTGATCGGGGACAAACACTTCCTTGAACATTCTTCACTGCTAGCCGCTGCTGATCTGTACTGCCTGGGGGAGCATTTCTATAGCGCCCGCAAAAATACAATAAAGCTCACCCAAGGAAATAACTATGGATTTTCACTTCTAGGTGTCAGTGTTTGGAATTGACTGGGCTTTTAAAATTTATGTTAGTAGGCAATTTAAAACAATTACTTATTTGAAATCAGAAGCGCAATGGGCACAACTTCACGTACGTACTCCATCACCACGTTTTGTGGATTTTTCTTTTTAAACATCAGTTCTGTTCTCTACAACTCTCTGCCTTCAGGGAACAAGGGGTTAAGAGAAGCTGCTAGAAACAATGTTACATAGCAGTTACATATAATTGTTAACCTATAATTTTCTGCATCTAGCAAACTCAGTAATCTTGAGCTCTCTGGTTTTCATTATACTTAGTTAAAATTAAGATATAATTCAGGCAAACGTGTCTAATGAGCATAATTAAATTGTTTTACATTAGAAGGTAAGAGTAGATCCCGTTCTCATTCTAATTTAAATGTGGGGAGTTAGTTTGGTCTGTCTAAGCCTATTAAAATTGAATATAACTCCTGGAACATCAAGCACTACTAATAATCTAGTCTCATCATAAACTTTCTTCTAGGTCTAGTTAGTCAATGGGTTTTGACTTCTTTTATAATACAAATTAAGAGGTAATTTTCCAAACCTTGATTGAAAAATTAAGCAAGTTTTGTCTTAACACTCGACATTTATTGAACATCTGCTGTGTGATAGGTTTACATCTTCCAGGTGCTGGCAAAAATACACAAAGTGTGCTTTCGTGAAGTTTTCAATCAAGGAGATAAAATACATTTTTTAAAAACTGTAAACTTGCAAGGTAGGAGGAGAGCTTAAGCTCAGGAGTTCAAGACGAGTGTGGGTAACATAGTGAGACCTCGTGTCTACTAAAAATTAAAAAAATATATATATATTAGCCAAGCATGGTGATGTGCACCTGTAGTCCCAGCTATTCGTGAGGCTGAGGCGAGGGGATGACTTGAACCTGGGAGATCAAGGCTGCAGTGAGCTATGATCACATCACTGTACTCCAGTCTGGGCAACACAGCAAGACTGTCTCAAATAAATAGATAAAATAAAAAAATAAAAAATTAAAAAATTAACTGGGTTTGGTGGTGTGCGCCTGCAGTCCTACCTACTTGGGAGGCTGAGGCCGAAGGACTGTTTGAGTCCAGGAGTTTGAGTCTGTAGTGAGCTGTGATTTTGCCACTGCACTCCAGCCTGGGTAATGGAGTAAGACCTCATCTCAAAGAAAAAAGAAAAGAAAACGACTGTTACTGAAATCAAGGTATCAGCTACAGAGCAGTAAAAAAATATAGATAGATAGATAGATAGATAGATAGATAGATAGATAGATAGATAGATAGATAGATATAGTAAACTTGCTTAGCTGTAAATACACACATAGTGAAAGAACAAGTTGAACCAGTAAGTTCTACCAAGAACTACATGAAACTACCAGCACATACTATTGTAAGTGCCAAGAGGAGAGGTCCCCTTGGCCCTCTGAAGTTTGGCTGAAAATCACTGACATGAGGTAAATTAATAGAAAAAACATACAAATTTACTTAACATGTATACACAGGAAGAATCACAGCATGATTACCCACCCCTCAGAGGGCTTCAGAAACTCAATCCCAGAGACACAGGTTATGGTAGGGAGAAGAGGAATTCTGTTGAGGGGATTACAAGGGAGAAACAGTCCTCATTTAAGGATGGCAAAAAGAAAAAGCAGAAGGCATTTCTAACAGGTTGACTGTGGTGCAGGAACATAGGGGAAGCTGTAACGGAGTTGCTAGTGTGGGAATCTCGCAGAGGTATCCCTGTAGCACAGTGCCCTCTGGTGTTAGGAAGATTTTTTTTTACTATGTGTGTATTTAGAGCTAAGCAAAGATCACGGGAGCCTCCAGCACATCTCAGACCTAAAGCACAAAACACGGTTATGCAACTTTTGTGTATTTGCCAAGAAACTTCTGATTTATTCTCAGTGTTATAATTTATGCCCACTGTATTAGCCCATTCTCTGCTATGAAGAAATACCTGAGACTGGGTAATTTATAAAGGAAAGATGTTGAATTGACTCACAGTTCTGCATGGCTGGGGAAGCATCAGGAAATTTACAATCATGGCAGAAGGTACCTCTTCACAGAGCAGCAGGAGAGAGAATGAGTACCAGCAGGGAAAATGCCAGACACTTATAAAACCGTTAGATCTCATGAGACTCACTCATTATCACGAGAACAACATAGGGAAACTGCCCCATGATCCAATTACCTCCACCTAGTCCCACCCTTGACACATGGGGATTATGGTGATTACAATTCAAGATGAGATTTTTGGTGGGGACACAGCCAAACTGTATCACCCACTACCCTACATACTTTAAAATTTTTTTACATTAATTTATTATTTTTATTTTTATTTGTAGAGACAGGGTCTTGCTTTGTTGCCCAGCTGGTCTCAAACTCCTGGCCTCAAATGATCCTGTCACCTTGGCCTCTCGTGCTGGGATTACAGGTGTAAACCACCACACTGGCCTTGTACATACTTTTTAGGAAAGTGGTTGTCAATAACTCTGCCATGATTGAGATTCACTGAGACATTTTTTAGTACTTCCTTGTCTAATGTTCTGCTGTTGGAAACTCTGGGAACCCAACAAAGACAAGGAAGGAAGGAAGGTTTGGGCTATCCTAGGTAAAGAACCCAGTCTAGCGAGGTCCTGACAAAGGTTAAGGGTAACTTGAATAGGTGCTGGGAGAACAGAGTTGTGCAATGTTAGCTACATAATTTGAAGAACCTAATGCAAAATAAAAATGTAGGGCTCCTTGTTAATTTCAGTCTATTTACTAGGCACAGTGGAGCAGCAACCAAGTGCAGAGCACTTCTAAGTATAGAGCCCTGTGTGACTGCCCAGGTTGTACATCCATGGAGCTGGTGCTAGTGCTATGATTGCTAAATTAGCCCTCATGACCAGAAAGAAGTATGGCCTGTAGAAGTTACGTTTTTTGTAACTTTTTCCACTCCCCCAACTTTTCCTTCTATATATATCATATATAAAGAGTACTAGAAGTGGCTAACTTTTTAGTTCTCATGAGGGAATATGATTGAATCAAGATCACTCCATGATGATACACATTCTAAAGGGACTTCATGTGTCCCTTGTGTTGGAGGCGCACACTTTTCATGTGGATGAAAAGCTATAGAGGATGTTGAAGGAGAAAAGGTGTGGCCTGTACCAATGTACTTCTGGGCCATTGGCCTCCCGTTGCTTCCAGCAGGAGTTGGGAGGGAAGAAAACAAAATCAGGACATGTATACCCCTGGTCCTTCCCTGGGAGGAGGTTGCCTTGGGCTGTTGATGTTTCACAACCAAAGGTCACTGCTGATCTCATAGCAATCACTACACAACATTTCCCTTCTAGGTTCCAGCAAATGCAGGCTACCCTCACCCTGCCTGGCCTAGATGTGGTTACAGATTTCCCCCAATTACTATTTGTAGGATCCTGGCTCCCTATACTTCTCATCTCTTTTAAATAAACCCTCTTTAAATTACTCTAACTCAAGTGTGCCCTCTGTTCTCTGTTGGAACCCTGTGTGATATAATCATGTTCCTCAGCTATAAAATGGTGATAGAAGTAATAAACCTGATTCTAGAACTTGTTGGGAGGATAAAATGAAAGTACATGTATACAAAGTACTTTGCAAATTCTAAAGGACTATAAAAGTTAATTATGTTTGGGGGAATGAATGCTCTAGCCAGTTACTCTCTCTGGTTTACTCTAGCTTTATTTGGAATCATTCTGAATAATATCCTTCAATTTGTTTTCATTTTTGTCATATCTCTTCCTTGCTGAGAGCTTTTGCTACGATTTAACTGTGTCCCCTAAAGTTCATATGTTAAAAACTGAATCCCCAATGCAACTGTTGGGACATGGAGTCTAGTAAGAGGTGATTATGTCATGACAGCTCTGCCATCATGAATGGAGTAATGTCATTCTCTTGGGAGTGGGTTAGTTATTATGAGAGTGGGCATGCTATAAAAGTGAGTTTGGCCGCCTCTTGCTCTTTTTCTCTCTTGAGCTCTCTTTCCCTTCTACTTTCCACCATAGGACGATGCAGCAAGACAGCTTTCACTGGGTATAGGCCCCTTGACCTTGGACTTCCCAGCCTCCAGAATTTAAGAAAGAAGTTCATTCTCTTTGTAAACCTCCTAGCTATGGTATTCTGTTATAGCAATACAAAATGGACTAAGACAGATTTAAAATAGCTTTGAGAGGCCTAGCATATGAGGAATACATTCTGGATAGCTTTTAGGAGGTTCTGAACCTCATCTCCAAAGGGTATACTTACCTCCAAAGTAAGTTGTTAAATGTGTAGAATTGTGCATTTGCCTCTGGCGTTCCTCCCTTCTCATTTCTTTGCAGTGTATCTGTGCCATTCCCTGAAGGTACTTTAGGACCTCACACTTTTCTTCATCCTACCTCCCTCTATAAAAAACAGTTTCCAGGAAGGGCTGTGAGTTCATCTTTACTAAATAAATGGCTGCTAGACTTTGATATGTGGCCTTACCCAGATATCAAAAGCATTGTCTGAACCAGGATTTTTCACAACCTCAGCACTATTGAAATTTTGGGGCTAAATAATTATTTGTTGAGGGAAACCACTGTTCTGTGCACTAT